TAACAACCCCCCCCCCTCAGCTTACGGGTTGTGCCCAGCCTTTAACCTTGCCTTTCTCTCCCCTACACAAAAACCATGCTTGTCCCAGCTCCCTTCCCCTACCCCTCCCACACTACTGCTTTTCACTTGTATACTTCCCCTTCCCCTTCTCCCTCTCTGCTCTCACATAGCTGTGTATATTTCCACACAGTCTGCTTTTACCGGTTCTCACGATCTCTCCGCTTGCAGATTTCTTATATTTTTTCTTCTACCCTGAAGATGGAGGCCATACGTTCCTCCGAAACGTCGGTTAACACCACATATACATGGTGCCAAATCCCAGAAGACTGCTTTCTTCATAGTCACCGCCATGAAAGCCTCAAATCTTTAAAATTCTAATTGAAACAAAAATAATTGCAACTGTGAACAAATTAAAATTGCTGTAGCATTATACTGTGTGTGTTATATTCAATAACTGGTTCCATCAATACAATCTACATACAGGTATAACATATAGTATACCTTTACATATATTGTGTTGATGGAATAAAATAAATTACAATTTAGTTTACACAATCCTAAGGGTGAGGGCAGACCAAGGAAGGTGGAAACCACACCTGTTGTTATCAGACTGAGTTGAACATGTGGGGTGGAATGGTGCAGCATAAACTGAGAAAATGGCAACACAATTGCAATGCAACTCATGGAAAACTAAGAAACTCAACACCCAGGTAACTGAGCAAGCCAGTCTTCTCACAGTTGTAATGCAGCATAGTTTGTATTGCATTTTATTTCATCCATTTTGCTACATAGTACCACTTGGACACGTCCTTTAGTAATACAATTTAACCAAATAAATCTACAAAGTCACAAGCATACTACCAACATTTGTTACAATCATACGCAATATATAAATACAACATTCCAAAAAAATATACAAACTACAATATACAGCTCATGAATGGCTATGACATCCAAACATAAGTACTTGCACCCTCCACTTTTTTATTAAAACTAACAAATTCATTTATCATATAAAAAGAATGTTTCAATAAAATTTTTTTTAAGTCTTTTTTAAAAGCTGAAATTTCAGCTGGTCTAACGTGCTTCTGTGATTCGTTTGCTTCTTTAGATGGCACGATAGGTTGCTGAAGCTGCTAATTTTATTTTTGTGCAGTTAATTGAGCAGCAGCTTGGTGTGTATGAAAAATGCAAGGCAGACTATGCTGGGTGGGACAAAAAGAGATTTGGCTTGGGAAAGAATTTCTCACAAGATGAAGGAGTCTGGATCTTCGTTAAGGTCTTTCAAATTAATATAAGCACCTGCGTTTAAACTGTCACAGAAGAACAGATGAACCCAATGTTTTATTTTCCTAATACTGTATTTAATCATCCTGTTGCATTAATAGAAAATTTATTTCACATATATTTCCATCTTAATTGCAACTTATTATCTAGTCACCCTTCTTCCACACTAAGTATTTCGGCCATATATGGAGATCATCAGGTGTCTTCTATCTTGCCAAACTTGTTGCACACTATGTCAAAATTTGGTATCATGTGTGAAAGTGACATCTCTTTGATTAAAATAAATTGACCTAAATTAAAATTAATTAAATTTATGAACGTCCAAATGTTTTCCTTACAGTTATCGACCTCTCTTCTCATGCCATCTCAACCATCACCATATTATGACAGGATCAATATTATTATCTGACATTGCAGTTCAGAAGTGCATGAAAATAAAAACTACAATCACATATTAAGTTGGTCAAACACACCCATTTAAGATGATGTGAGCAACTAATCAAACATAGGTCTTCTCAGTGTGCACCTGCTAACCTGAAAACCAGTTGCCTGCTTGAAATCGGTGAAATTTCTTGGAAGTTGCAGTTGCATTGAAGTTTCCAGGTTCTTTGGTGAACCCTTGCCCTAACACTAATGACTAAAATTGCACTTATAGCATGTTTCACCACATACAGACAAAGGAATTATAAACAGCTAAATATGGAGGCCTGTTGCCTACCTACTACATTGATTTGTGAGTAAGACTATATTTATACAAACAAATTTAATTTTCAATTTTCAGCAGCAAAATAAACACATACCCTGATAGATGGTTTCTTGTATATCTTGTTGAAAGTTTTGTCCAGTCGTCGAAGGATGGATATCAATGCTGGCCTCATTGCTTCATTGGTCCATTCAGTTGAGGGCAGTATATCACTCATGTAACGCTGGAGGCCTCTACATGCCATTGTGTCTGGATCATATGGAGACACCTTTAGAAGACTGTGGGCGATGTCAGCTAAGCGCTATAAATGCAGAATAATTCATTGAATTGCAAATGTCATACATAGATAGTCCTCAGTTTACAAAGATTTGCATTATGTAATTTTACTCAAATCAACTTTTATAATGAAGCACATAACCTCAGCTTGGCTTGTCATCAAAGCATGAACTCATCTGAAACCCCACAAAAAAAAAAAAATCAGCACATGTGAACAAAAGCTGAAACAAATTAATTCATCATCATATTAGTTTGTTTTATATTCTGCTGTGGTCAGCACCTTGTACAATATGTTGCTGTATTTTAACAACTTCATAATAATTAATTATGTATGATAAGAGGTAAAGTTCTATAGAAAAGATGTTTTTAGAACCTCATGACATTATAAATAAGACTGGTAATTTCCATTTTCTTGGTAATTTCTTGGTCAATAGAAATTTAACGCCCCCCCCCCCAAATACAACATTGGGGCATGTGGTAGTGTAGTTAGTTGAGGCCCTATGCTACAAGCCGGAAGGTTGTGGGTTCGAATCATAATGAGATCATTGGATTTTTCAACTGACTGCACTATGTAGATTTTCCTTACTGGTTTTGTAAATATGGTACTTCTAAAGTGTGTTTAAATATTTTTCTTTCCTCCCTTTTGTTGTTATAATTTCCATGGTATCTGTTATTGTGCTGTATGTGTGTCTGGTGTTCAATGTATGATTTGAATATCTGGAGTTACTATTGTTACTTCTTATGTCATGAATGTGTTTTATACAGAGTTACTATAAATGATTCATTCAATTTCAAAACACTATATATTTCAAAGTATTATACATACAAATATGATTTAACACCATGTGACTTCTTCCTTTAGGGTATGTTAAGGACCGTGTTTATGTACCCCCACTACCAACAACACTGGTAGAGCTCAGGGAACGCAATAATGCTGCTGTGATGACCATTGACAAGGGAGTGCTACAAAATGTTTGGACTGAACTCGACTACTATTTGGACGTGTGTCATGTCACCAACAGGGCATACATATAACATTTATAATTTGGTGAGTTTGCAGTTCTTTTCATGTAGCAATCTTGTTTGTATGTGTAATACTTTGGAAAATATAGTGTTTTGAAATGGAGTGAATCATTTGTAGTAACCCTGTATATCTAGTCTTAAATGTTCTTCCTTTTTGTCTGACATACTTTATTGGACACTAGTGAAGACAGCACCACACGCTGCTACAGGGAACAACACACAAGCAAGTGGCATATTACAGATTGCAGACATAGCAGAACAACGGGCTAACAAACATAAAAACAAGCTGCTGCAACAAAACACATGGAGAGAAACATACAGTTCTAAACAAACAGACAACAACCCTTCTGAGGTGGAATAGAATTTCACCGAAGTGATGAAAATTTTAATATAAAATTTTAATGGATTTTATTCTATTTTATTAAGTGGACTACAGCATGTGAGTTTAGCACATATTAATGCAGTGTAGCAGTTTTGATATATTAGAAACCTGAAGATCGCCCTCTAAGGCCGAAATATGTTGTGTTAAAGTATAAGTGGAAGAAAAAGTAACAATTGTTGCATTACTGATGGACTGTGTTATACAAAGACGTTTTAATATGGCTTGCAACAGGATGCTTAAATACAGAATAACAAATATGCTGTTAGTAAACAGAGGTACTAATAGATTCATGGTTACAAACAGGAATATTGAAAAATGTACATGAAACAAACTCCAATATTCAACAGTTCTCACAGGAAGCTGGGTCTTATAGTCCTCCATCGTCAAATGTGTCTTACAGCGGTTGAGTGCATGGTATATAATGAGTATAATGTGTCAAAAGCAAAACTATAAACACAGTGAAGAGAAAAAAAATACTATGGTAGTTACTTATTAGTGGAACAACAAGGAAGCCTCTAAGTTTCTTAAAACATACATTAAACAATCTGTTATCAGAGGAAGCACGCATATAAAATTCAAATCTGAAAATAACAGTGCACTTATGATTTCCATAAAAAGAACTAAACATCAAGGTGAAGCACACTCAATCAGGAAAAAGCTTATTAAGCCCTGTACAACTGATTTGACTGCATGTATGACAGATGAGAAAGCTGTCAAGAAAATTCTGCTATTGTCTTCATCTGACTGCATGATTCAGAGAAGAATTTAATATTGTACAGTGAAATTACTGAAAGGATTAGTTAAAAGATTGAGGTTAAAGGAATCGTTTACAATTCAATCAGTCAAGAGAATTTACGTTGTTAATCTTGCAATTTTGCTCATTTTGGTTAATATGTTTATGAAGATGAATTTCATGCAGATTTTTACTCTGCAAATCAACTGGAGCATAAACAACAGGCAAAGATACTTTTCAGATTTTTTATCATTATTTTATAAACCACCATACTGAGTGGAACAAATTACTGATGGTGAGAAGTCATTGACAAGAAAACTTGTAGGTACTGCGGCTTGCATAAAGACTGTATCCAAATTGTGCACAAGGAACCACTGCATATTGCACAGATATATACCCAAAGTCAAGAGAATGCCTAGTTCAGTGAAATGTGTATTAGATATTGCAAGAGAAATTTCTTAACTTTATTAAACCACCATTAAATTACAGACTTTTTAATTCATTCTGCACTGGCATGGGCAGTGAGTATGAAAGATTGATTCTTCATATAAAAATTTGTTGGTTTCATGATGAAGATTCTGACAAGGGTATTTCACATGAGTGAAGAAACTGTAAATTTTTCTATAAATGATATAAACTCCGTCTCAGGTGCAAACAATATATTTTGTGTCTTTGATCTTGCTCCCTACACTACATGTTTCGGCCTCAGATGGCCATCATCAGCTGTATAACACTCACGTCGCTGTCACGCTGCACCCAGTTCAAAATTTAACATCTAAAACACTCTCCCTGTCATTATCAACTTCTACTTCGTTGATAGCTGTCCACCCGTAGATTACTTCACACACGTTAATTTTGAGTTTATTGTAATAGCACCATAATAAAATCTTTAGTTCTAATTTTAAACCTTTAAATTCTTGTCCAAATTTTAAAATTTTAAAATTGTTAGGGTTATTCGCCCTGTGTTTGAAGTGCTGCAGCAGCTAGTTCTTGTTTCCACACTGTATAGGTGTTATCTGTAATATACAAATATATTTGTATTACTATCTTATGTATGTGGTGTTTTCTTATGTGTGTATATTGTTATCTGTACTTACCCTGTGTAGTCTTTCTGTGTGCATGCCGCTGCTATTCTTTACTACGTGTGCTGTCTGATGTACTGTGTGCTGAGTTTTATGTTTGTGAGTGTAGGGGGGGAATGGGTAGTGGGGAGAGGAAGGTACCGTTAGTCTGTATAGATTTCATGTATCGTTTGAAATATGGGATTGTGTGTTTCTATGTGTGAGCCTTTCTTACTTATTTTATATATATGGTATTTCTCTAATGTATCCAAATGTCTGCCCTTCTTTCCCGTTGTTACAACTTCCATTACCTCTGTTATTGTTCCGTATGCATGTCCTGTATTTAGTATGTGGTTTGAGTACCCGGAATTGCTATCATTATTCCTAATATCATGTATATGTTCTTTATATCTAGTGTTAAATGT